GGTTCTAAAAAAGAAGTCTTAGGAGGAATTTTAATCAAAAACCTCAAAAGCAGACTTTTTAACTCGCCAGTTTTTTTCTGTGTGTCGTCTCAACTCTAAAATAAAATTTTCTAATCAAAAACTTTCACTGACTGACACTAACAAAACCAGTTGCACAGAAAAATTTGTGCTTAAACTGCCTAAAACCGAAAAATGTGGGAAGATAATTTGTAAGATACTTGGCAGAAAAGGCAACTAACATCAATTCAGAGTAATTGGAGGAGATAAAGTTTTTAAAATGGCTGCACAACTTCACACTAAAACAACTTTTGCTAACAATACCGAAATTCTTTTGCAACAAAAGTGGTGTACTGAGTAGGTCTTGAGCTATTAGCTAACCAAAGAGCTCAACTTTCTGACAAAAACTTTTTTTAAAAAGACACCGCTGCATATTGCATCAGAGAATAGCCACTCAGAAGTCATCAACATTTTATTTGGAAGGAAAGCTGACGTAAACAGAATTGACAGAAAGTAAGGCGGATCCTAATATGTTCTAGAAACTCAACTGTGGTTTCTTCCATGTTGCTTTTCTTTCGCAAACTTTTCTTCTTCTCTCGTACTGCAGAAGTAGCGATATCACAGCTTATAAAAAGAAAAAAGCTCAACGCGATTGAGGAAATACATTGTTTTACAAAAAATTTCCAGCTTGTTCTAAATTACAGACAACCACTGAAAAAGTATTTATTATCTTAAATCTTCGTTGCTTCATGAATATGCTTCTTTTTCAAATAAGAAGACCTTCAATGTTTGATTCTGTTTTCTACTCAGGTTTAAAAGCTCTATTATAACAGTATAATTTAAATTTTGCTGGTGAATAGTGCTGCAAAAACTTGTCAAAAGAAAAAGGTTAGTAAAAAAGTAAATGAGCATTAACAAAAGTTTTTTTTTTAAAAAATCGAACTTCGAACAAAATTGAACCAAAAAATATGGGTTAAAAGTAAATAACTCTAAATTATGCATCTAAAAGAAATAGCGAAAAAAATGAATAAAGAAAATTTTGTAAAATGCAGTAAAGAATAGAAAATTTTTTAAAATAAGAAGTAAGCTCAGCTGTGACTTTTCAAATGAAGGAAAGCTTAACAGCAAATTGAACTAAAAAAATGAAGAAAAAAAAAGAAAATTATTAAAATGCATTTTCAAGAACAAAAGTTGAGAAACAAAAGATGAAATTTTTACAAAAACAAATAGGAAAACAGTTATACAATTGAGAAAAAAACCAGAAAATATACTATTTAACACAAAATTTTCAGATTTTCACTCAAATTGGAATCTGAAATAACTTTGAGACAGCCAAAATGGTGAACAAAATGTTCAAATTTTTCATCGATACTTTTTGTCGAAGCAGTTCTTCTAATCGTTTTGGAATACCGCAAGTAGCGGATTACGAATAGCGGCCACATAATTTTGAATTTGACCAAAAAACCACGCAGAGTGCGAAAACGAGAGGCAAAAAAGTTGTGAAAAGACAAAAAATTATGTATAGGAGAGGGAAGACTAAACTGAATTAGGAACTGAAAAAAAAAATGTAAAGTTAGAAAAAAGACAATCAAGAAAGGAAATTTTAAGTAAAAAACGTTTTTTTCAAATTTTTTGTCATAGATCGCCTTTGAAAAAATCAGTTTTTAGGTGGAGAAGTACATTTCTGTATTTAGAAAAGTGAAAGTTCCCGTAAATAAAGCAATTTATTAACCTTCAGCTAAGTTTTATTGTTTCGTATCTTTTTTTACATTATAAAAAACTATCTACTCTCATTTCGCTAAATTTTAGAACTTTTAGAAACCTTTTCCAGTCAAATTGCTACTCTTCACATTAATTTCGTTATGCGCAAATAATTACAAAAAAGTAACTACAAAATTTCAGCTTTAATCAAACGCGTCTAAGGATAAAATAATGCAAAACACGAGACCAAAGCGTAGAAGTAATTGAAAAAAAAAAAGAAGGCAAAATTTTGTTTAAGAAAGTAAAAGAATTAAACTAAAAACAAAAAAAGTTTTGTGTTTCTAAAGAACTACTCAAACTTTCAGTCGTAAGTCAACTCCAAAAAAATATCGAAATATTCAGTAAAATTTTTTATCAACGTGTAACTTTGAGTTTTTAAAATAGAAAACGAACTGTCGGACTTCAGAGGAGATCAAAAGTCGAAACTTTCAGACTTGACAAGTATCAAAGAAAAATTGAAGAGGAAAACTATAAAAGTTCATTGAAAACTTATGCACGGCTCAATTATGAAAAGTACTGTAATGAGTTTCGTGTTGTTGTGATGCTCAAAAATAGCGACGAAATTAATGTAAAATTGGTAAAAATTTTCAACTTTTTATCTTTTTCAAAGCCAAACCTAGAAAAAATGAAGGAAATTTTTAACGCAAAAATTTTACATTGTAAAATATAAAAAATAAAATGTTTGAAAGTTTCACATAGTAACTGGAGACAAAAAAATAAAGAGTTTGGTGCAAAGTGCCGGTAATTATTGATTATTCTTTCAGTTGTAACAGTTGCCGCTTTCTTTCTTTGTGCTTCTTATTAAAAATAAGGGAACAGAGCGTGGAAGTATTTGAAAAAAAAGAACAAGCAAAACTTCATTTGGCAAAGCGGGGAATGTGAGTTGGATATAAAAAGCAAAAGGAAATGCAGAAAGGTAAGTGAAGAAAGAGAAGCAAAAAAAAAAAAAAGGTTTTGTACTCTTGAGAAACAACTAAAATCTAATGCCGCAAAACAACTCTTAAAAGCGGCTCAAATATGTGGTAAACTATTCCTAATGTAATGTAATTTTGAGCCAAAAACTAGCTGATAAACTGTCAAGATTTGCTTAAATCTACAAAATCGAAATTTCCAGACTATAACAGTGCCGTAAAAACATCTAACAAAACCCTTAAAAAATTTCTTTTGCGAGATATATCACAGCAACTAATTTTCAAATTTAAGTAAGCTGTCGAAAGTAAAAAGAAGATAAATTATGAGGATAAGTCAAATTGTAATCGAAACAGGAAAGAGCTGAGGTGATTAAAAATCTAAAAAATCAGTAGAAGCAGCGAGCATAGAATATTACAGTTGATATTCAAAAGCAAAAAAGTCAAAAAATAAACGAAAAAAGTTTTTTAAGAACGAACGAAGGTTAACAAATTTTTTGGAAAGAGACGAAAGGATAGCTATTGAACAGAAAAATCTCTGATTATGGCAGTAGTTGCTTAATGGAGGGGGGGGGGAGGATATTGATTTATTATTTTATACAGCTTTTCCGTCCTTTCATCCAAATTCGTTTCTAAAATTGTTTCCTGCAACCAGTAATGCCGAGAAAATTTGTAGCTTTTTTACCAGTCCTCCATATCAAAGTATTTATCTGATTTGTTTTAGATAGAATACGCCGCTACATTTGGCATCGGACAAAGGAAAGAGAGAAGTTGCGAGCCTTCTGATTTAGAGTGGAACAGATATGAATACAAAGGGTCAATATGAAGTGCGAATATCTTCAAAAATTTCCAGATCTTTTCTGCTAAACGTAACCAATGTTATGCTTTTGTTTTTTCTTAGAAAAAAATTTTATTTAGCTAAAGTTATATTGTTTCAAGAGAAAGTCGCATCTTAGCATGCAAGTGGTTCGCAAATCAGTCCGGAGTCAGTTTCCAGCCAGATGTCTATCCAGATTTCTTCGCTGTCAAATATTTTCATTTTTACAAACTCAAGTACCATTTTCTTAAAAAAAAAAATGAAAATGAAAAAAATAAAATATACATTGTTTTTTTTAGATTTTTGCATTTTTTGGACATTTTCAAGGTTCCTCCAATATACATTTTTAAGGTTCCTTCAATATGGCGAAAAAATGCTACCCTGCAGCAACACCCGATTCGACTGCGTGATATTTTAGGTTGCAGAAATTCAACTTAGTGTTTCGCCGTGAGACAGCATCGTCAGAGAAGTAAATTAGGCTTTTTACGGCAAATTTTAATTGTAAGAACCAAACTAGGCAACAGTAAAATAGATGATCTGCGACAAAATTGTGCTTCAAACAAACAGAAATAATCGTAAAAATGCGGAATTGAACAGGACTCAATGAGGCATCCTTAATACAAACCGCAAATGAATGAACTGTTGTCCGCGTATTTCTGGATCTTTGCTCTTACCAGCCCCAGCATTGCGGTTTGGTCAGCAGATACTTTTATTGACGCAAAAAGTTTGAAAAACAGGTCTAATTCTGCGTGCAGTTAGTGCAGGCCTCGCTCCTCTTTGACCGATCTAATGGATATTAGGCGATCTGTTAGGTGGTCTGTTCTCTTCCCGTATCTCTCTTTAAAGGCTGACGGCAACCTGAATATTTGTTGCTCCGATGTGGTACGGTTGAGACAACTTTTCTGCTTCTCCTTCCAATAAATTGATCAAATACACCAACTTTTGCATATCTAAATGGTTTGTGCGCTTATGCGCTGCGATTTCGAACAAGTCTTTAAATACTTTAAAGTTGTCGGCTGACAGGTTCAACGAAATCATTAGCTTTTGTAAATTAAAGCCCTCCTTTTCATTTATGGCGGCCTTTGCTTTCTTCGACTCGACTTCCACAGGTTCTTTTTTCTCCGTTTCCTGTTTCCGCTCTAAATTAGTAATTCACCAAGCGGCCACATCCACTGCTGCTTTCAGTTTGTCTTGGTGTCTGTTGCTCGTCCTGATATAATAAAGAGACTTTTCAGATCACTACAACAAGTACTGTTTTTAGTTATCTCTTACTGACGCACATCGATTGCTACGTATGGATTCAAAATAAGTTTTCAGTTTCTCACCGCTGCATTCCCTTTGACAACAACGGCTGTAACCTTGATGAGTAGAGAAC